TGTGCCTGTTGGAAACTTGGGAATGAAAACATGATTTATGATAAAACATGGTAGGAGGAGGATAAAGAGAGTGGAGGGAGGTAGAGATTGCTGAGTTCATGGGGTTTGACCAGTTAATGTAGCAGATTTCCACTCTGGCCTGTTATTTAAGGTTAAAAAACATTGGTGTTTGGCTTAAAATGTAAATGTATTAAATGTAACATCAGCATCCATTATTTTACTTTGTAAGTTCTCTCCCATCTTACTGCTACTGTGCAGATCAATATTTTGCAAGAAAAAGCCAAAACTGTCCTCTGTGCTTGAACCAAACATGACCATCGTGTCTGTGACATCACCTACAAGTTCTCGAAGGGACATATAGCAGCTTGGATGTGGGTTTATACTGCCATTCAATCGAGATAAAATAAACCTTGTAGCCTTTCTTGTAGCAGAGTGGGTTTTAATCGGCAAAAGCTCAGAGAAAGATGAGGCCTTAAAGTTGATATAATCTAATAAAAAATGCAGTAATCTGCCTGGCTCCGCAGGACATGCACAGTTAAGCCTTCTGTCAGTCATTTCTGTTGAGGAAAGAGGAAAGAAAGTCTAATACTTTAGGTCAGATTTTTGGTCAGATACACAGTAGACTAACAAGACAAAGCATCTACAGCAATGCTAGCTGCTTTGTGAGGCTTTACTTGGGCGCAGTGGTACTTAGCTAAATGCTAACATGTGCTTGCAAACACAATGGAAATGGTAACATGCTGATGTTTGGAGGGTGTAATGTTTACCATATTCACTGCATTAGTGTAGCATGTTAGATTGCTAACATTAGCACTAAAAACACACTGATGGCTCTAAAGGAAAAGTCAGATAGTAAACAGACGGTAGCATGCATCCTCTGGGGACCATGAATGTCTGTACAAAATGCCCTGGCAATCCATCCAAAAGGTGTTGAGATATTTGAGTTTGGACCAAAGTGACCTCACATTGCTGTCCCTGGAGCCGTTGATATACATCTTAAAAATAAATACCATAAAATAGATAAATAAATTCATAAAATGGATGTCACTGAATATCACATTATATCCAAATATTCCAACCAATTCAACAAATTCCTCACAAACAACTGCTGCAGTAAAGTCTGCAATAACTGCTAATCTGCAAACACATCTATATATGAGTAAAGCATGCTCCAAACCTTTAACATCTCTTCACTGAATAGTATCTTTCTAAATCGGATCCAAACACACATTCACAGACATACTGAGAACCCTACTTCTTGTGGAAAAGGTATGTTTTTATCACAGGTTTGTGTTTTAGTATAAACTATAAAACTAAATTAAATAAATTAAATAAATGAATTACAAAATACAGATAAATAAAGCTATCAGTGTTTTATCCAAAAATATTGCTATCTCTTCCAGGTTTGAATAATGCAAGTCAGTGTAACTTGCTACTACTGTCCTCTTCTGTTTCATTCATTTCCCCTTTTTTTTTTTGCTCCTCTTTCTATTGTTGTGTAGCTGTCTGTCCCAACACTGAGCAGTTCAAGGATTTCATTTTTGGGGGGAGGGTGAGACCGTCTCTATTAAAGGACAGCCAGCAGCTGGCCACGCCTGCTAAATCCTCCCCACAAAACCCACCCACCAGCTCCATCTGCTTCCCAAGTGGAACCCTCTGACACACACACAAACACACACACCTACTTCGTGCTCTTTGATCCCAAGAGAGCGGAAGCCTACATCTGTTCTTAGTATATCAAATCCTTTTAAAACAATGAATGCCTTGTTGGCTTATAGAGTGTATGACAGTGAAGTGAGGAGCGATGACACTCATTCATTCACACATGGCTACCATATCTCCTCACACACACCCACACACCCACACCAACACACACACACACACACACACACACACAGGTACAGAGCTTCAGTGACCTTGACCTTGACAGATGAGCTGTGACTTGAACTGTTTTCACGACAAGTTGTTAACCTTTAGTTTGTCCTGTGCTTCTGCATCTAGAAAACTCAACTAGAAGCCTCAAGATGTTCCTTAAAAAGTCTTCCTGCAGAAAGCTGTCAGCAGTAAGCAACAAAAAGAGATTATGATTATTAAATACCATTCAAAATGGGCACTTAAATTAAGGTAGCTATGGAAATATTGTATACTAAGTGGTTGTGTATGGACTCTCCTGTAAGCTTTGGTCCATATGTTGGGGCAGGAGAAATTACACCTTTACAGTCTGGTGACCTCATATAATTCCACCTGCCTTCTGACTCAGTGGAGGACTAATCAGACAAATCTGTGTGGGTGTACGGGGCCATAAAGACACATTTCAAACCAAAATAATAAAGTAACAAAACAGCAAAAACCATGAAGTTAATTACGCTACAAATGGGCAGAAAAATAAAACGACACCAGGAAGTGAACTTAGTGAAGGAACAAATGTGTTAAATAACCTGACCAGATGTAAACTGTACCATTCACTTTCTTCTTTATTATATACTTTTCACACTAGGGCATTAAAGCTGTTTTTCCGTTGCTTTTTTGTTGTTATATTTGTTTCTCTTTAAATCACAGCAGCAAACTTTCTTGCGACTTGCAAAACGATGATTTGGTCACAACTCTGCATCACACAGATGTAAATGTTCCTTCAGTCTTGACTGGTAGTCAAAGACAACCAACCTCACAAAGCTGCCCTGGTGCACCAGACCTCAGGGTTTACTGTGTGGTAATTTGTTTTATGTCAAATTTGTTTGGTAATATGCACCCCTAAAGAACAATGTAAATTGAATGGGGTTGCTCCTGCAATGGTCCTGTCTTGAAGAGACCGTATTAACAACTTTTACTTTTTAGTATATAGGATCTCCAGTAACATATATGTTGCATATTCCTAAATATTAGATTGCAACAAGCTGCCTCGATAGGGGGCCATAGCTAATTTTCCCCCTACACCCTGTTGCAGGTTAACTCAGTCCTGCTTTCAGACTCCTGCAGTTACAAAAAGAGAAGATTCATACGATACGGATTTTATACTGGACTCAGCATTTATATGCACATGTATATGCTTTCAGTTCACAAACACATGGAAAAGAATGTACACAGACACTAAATGTATGTATGTTTGCAGTCAGAAAGCTACAGGAGCAGCAGATAAACAAGGCGCTCATCCAACATTTGAGATTCCTGCCGTACACCAGCCTGCTTCCACTGGGAACTGACTACCAAAGGCTGGGCGAACGACATAGAGAGACAGAGAGAATGAGAGAGAGAGAGAAAGGAAGAGAATATAAAGCGGTAAAGAGGAAAGCCAGGGTAGAAAGAGACCTAAGGGAGGCCATGAATTATTTATTAGTCCACAGCTCCCTCCTCCTCTCCATCCTTTACTCCTCCTCCTCTTTCTCTTCTCACTCCTCCTCTTGTTCCTCCACTCCTTCTTCCTCTTCACCCTCTCCTCCTCTTTCTCTTGTACTCTCCCTATCCTCTACTCCCTCTTGCTCAGCATCCTCTAGTCCTTCCGTTTCATCTCTCACTCCCTCCTTCTCCTCCTCTTCATCCTCTACTCCCTGTTGGTCATCTTCCATTTCCTCTTACTCTTAAATCCTCCATTCTGTCTTTGTCTTTATCTCCTTAGTGTTTTCCCCTCTCCCTCTTCATGTCTGACCCTTAGAATATTTTCCAACATTTTTTTGCAATCTTACTTTCAACCGTACCATCAAGATATTATACTGTGGAGGTGTGCTAGTTAGTTTGACATTGAATTTATTTAGGTGACTAAAGCCAGGACCAAGCAAAACCAAATACAGTCAAATAGTCAAGGCCAAGTCAGGAAAATAAAAACAACTTTTGAATGGTTGGTTGAATTTACTAAGATTACATGAAAGCATATTTTTTCAATTACCTGGTATCTAGCCATGCAGATGGTTTCATTTGTGAACGTTTTGAGTTTTCTCCTTCCACCAATACAATAATGTTAAATGGAAAATGATAAGTTTTTTGAATTTCTTTGGTAATTTGGGCATATATAGTTAGAATAGCTTTCTGATTAGAGATTAGAGGATTAACATCACTTTCATGTCTGTTTTAAGTCTTTTTTCAGTTTTTCAGTTCAAGTCCCAAGATGCAGTCGGGAGGTTGTTAGCCTACCTTAGCATGGAGACTGGAAGCTTCTCTGTCCAAAGTGAAAAAATAAACTCACTAACACATCTAAAACTCACTAGTTGTGTCCCATTTGTGTAATCAATACACAAACGGTAGGATAAAAAACATTTTGTAGTTTTAGACAGTTACACCTGCTGGAACTATTTTGAGATTCACAGTTTATCCATCCGCCCCGACAGTGTCCCTGGGTACAGCACAGGTAGCTACATGTGGTTGCTGAACACAGGTTTGGTGTCTTTATAGACAATATGGTACCAAACTGACTTCAGGAAAAAAAAATTCATTAAGAAATGGTTAGTCTACAGCACAAAACTCACTTTAAACCTACAAATTCTACATACAAATAATTTATAAATATAAATTACATAAATGTATTCTCTTTAATGTATGGATTGAACAAATTGGACACAACATGTTGATTAATGAACTGCAGAAGTGTTTGCAGCTGTACGTTTTCACATTAGAGACAGCCAAGCTAGCTGTTTATCCCACCCCCCAGTCTTTATGCTCTCTACTGACACAATATCTCATGTATCAATCTTTTCATTTAATATCCAGAAATATCCAGACAGACAGAAAATAAGCTAATTCTGCAATGGACTGCAATCACAGAGACCAAAATGAGTTTGCGACAAACAAGTCAACCAAAAAATTTGTCTCAAGATAAGACAGACAGACAGAAATATGAAACATAAGTATTAACATAAAAGTATACCCTTTTAGGGGGGGACATTACTGTGTCAACTAACTGTTGATTTCCAGCTGCAAGCAAACATAAAAAATGTGAGATGTATTGTGAAAGTATGTTTCTATGGACTGTGTTACTGACAGATTGTGTGCTATGTCTCTTTGTGTTTCAGGTGATTGTTGGAAGAAAAGATGAAGACAGAGATGCTGAGAAGGAGGATCCAGATGAATGAAAGAGCCCCAGTTCTCTTTATTTATTACCTTCACAATATGTGTGAGAGTGTGTGTGTGTTTACTCAATGGCTCGCTCTTCTCTCTCTCTCATGCACACGCCACACAACACACACACACACACACACCACAC